GTTTATTTATGAGACATAAGTTTAAGGCTTGTTGTGCATTGCAGTACATCTTATCAGTGGGTCAATTCCCTCAGTGAACTTTGTTATTGGGACAAACCCCAGACACAGACTGCTTTAGTCACAACTGGAAATGAGCCAATGAATGTGCAGGGGTGGATGCTTTCAGGGGGAAAAAAAAAAGAAAGACATAGTATGTGTGTAAACTGTGAAATGGCCTGGACTCTGACTTCTGAAAGTCATTTGCATTGAACCTTCCATTTCCACAAGAAAACATTGTTCTGATCATTGCTAATCTGGTTTAAGTGAGTTTCATCATTGCATCCTGCATAGCTGCATCACAAAGGTCTCACCATTTCACTAACAGGAAATGAAACTAGAAATCAACAAATGTTTAAATGAACACAATTCTTTCTACAGCCAGATATGGGAGGTGAGGCTTAAAGAAGCATAGAGCAAGAAGGATATTGTCACACGTCCTACTGTTGCATAAGAGGATAAACTCGTCTATTCCTGGACTGTCACTGATGCTTTCTAAAGGTTTTTACAAGTGGGAGAAGACAGATGCATTCTAGAAAAGCATCTCACATGATATCATCCATTATATCTTTTTTAGAAGTTCAGTATACTGCTGATGAACTCTGTAAAACTCTAAAAGCCTTTCCTTTGATCATGGACAAGATCTTGCAAGCCCATGCAAGGTCTTTACGTTTTTAATAACTACACCTAGTTAAAACTTATCCTCCTTAACCAAGACAGTATTAAGAACTAAAATATAAGTGATCAAAGTACTCCATAATTAACACTCACCCTCCGAGAATGGCCAAGAAAGGCTTCTGTGGTTTCTCAAGGGCCATGGCAAAGTAGTCCAACTCCTTCTTCATCAGAAAACCAGCTGCCTTCTGAGGGAGATTCACTCCAACCATGGAGCTAGAGTGAGACATTAGACATTAAAGTTAAAAAATTAGACTTAAAAAAAAAACAAGGGACAAAAAACATTTAACAGTTTAAACTTAATCATTTCTATTTTTCTATCACTGTTTTATGTAATAGAGCACCTATGAGCTCTGTGCGCTGTTCCAAAGGCATCGTTGACGTAGACATCACCCAGCTTGGATAGGGAGGCTCGGAAAGAATCGATTTCCCCCTGACTTGCTTTGGTCTGAAAAGAGGAATCAAAATCACTTATAGGTCACATGCCACTTGAAGAATAATAAAAAAAAAAAATTAAAGCTGAACTGTGTGATGTCTGCAAAAAAAATTTGAAATACTCCTCCTTTTTGGCATTAAGGTCTGTTCACACCAACAAAAATGTTTGTTGTTTGTTTGTTGTGAAAATTCGATCCAATTTTTAAATGTGATTTGTATGGAAGACCATTTCCGCCACTGAAAAAAACAAATTTAATTGCGACTTTTTCTCACAATTCTGACTTTTTCCTCTCCATTCTGACTTATTTTCTCAATCTAGTATCTATATCTCAATCTCTAATATAGTCCTATTCTGAGGGGGAAAAAATGCCGATATTTTCTTACAGTTACGAGTTTATATTTCCCAATTCTGACTTTATAACTTGCAATTGCGTGTTATAATTTAAGTCAGAATTGCGAGATATAAACTCGCAATTCTGAGAAAAAAAAAGTCAATTCTGACTTTTTTCTCGCAATTGCAAGTTTTGATATTGACTTTATTCCTCAGAATTGCAAGTCTACACGCAAAAAGTCTTCAAAAAGTCAGAATTATGAGAAAAAAAGCCAAAATTGTAAGAAAAACAGTCAGAATTGTGAGATAAAAAGTCAAAAATACCCTTTCTATTTTTTTATTCAGTGGCGGAAACGGACTTCCATAGATTTGTCTGTTCAGATCAATGCGTAAAAAATGGCAGACGGGCTAAATGAAAATGCAGTTACCCCTCTTCGTAAAAAAAACTCACACATCAATAGTATGCAAATGTCAGTCTGAAAAGACCCATTAACAACAGTTCACTCAAATTCAAATGTTTATCGCAACAAACTTTCTCACTGAATACTTGTCTTGATGTGCGCAGGCCTTTAGTTTGATTAACATATAGTCCCACCCTAAACTCACGCCATTGGTCGAACCAATTTTGCACACATTTGTACACGTTTCAAAACAAATAAATAATGTGTAAACCAAAAAATGGCGCACTTATGGTTGTGTTTGCACAGTAAACTGATGAAAGTATTTTAATCCCAGTTACAGTAAGACCCCTGGATCAAGACCAACGTACTTACAATTATGATCACATTACTGCTGTCCGTATGCACTCATGACTTCTGTTTTACTGTGAATGAAAGGTTACACAGGTGCCTAGAAAATGCCAAGTGCAAGTTCACTGCAGTTGCCTGCCAGCAAAGAACATAGCAGTTTCCCTGTCTCTTTCTTTGCTCTTCACTCGTCCCTCTCTCTTTCTCTTCTCCCCTTCCCAGTATGCATTCCAGCCAGGGCTCCGAGGACCAGAAAAGCCACATGATCACATATGACCTTCTTACAAATGTCAATAGGTCAGCTGTGTACAGTATTCTCCACATGCACGCAAAGCCACCAATTGCCTTTGACAGTAGTAGCTTGTGGTTTGTAGATAAGATTTGACAATGATAAAAGCCAATTATTAGCTTCTTGAGCCAAAACAGAATGATTTGGTAAGATTTGTGAAACCAGCCTAATTTTAGAGGGCTTCCTTTACTGATTAGTTGATACTGAATATCTGTAGTTGTAAGAGTCCCTATTGAAAAGCTACACCAAATAACCTGTTCTCATTTCTTTTTCTTTTTTTGAGCACATGGCATTTAAGGCCACAGATCCTACTGTATAGATCATACTGTTACAGCAGGACCTTATGGTCTTAAGTTTAATCAGTATCTTATTTATTTATTTATTTTTTAATGCCATGTCAGAAGCAAGGCTATCTTAATGGCGAAAACAAAATAAATAACAAAAGTCTTACAATTAACAAGAAGCTATACAAGACATTTAACGTTAATACTAGACATAAAAAAAAATCTAAAATACATTAAGGTGATACTTTTTTAAATATATCAGTTCAACATTTCTGAATAAGATCATTGTCTATTTACATTAAAAACAGTACAGTTCCATAAAAAAAAGTTTAACAGTCATTGTAGTTTTAATCAGTATCTTAAATGTTATAGCAAAAGTCTTAATTACCATTTTAAGAGGTCTTAAATTTGTATATGTTAAAACGCCACTGCAGTGCATTCTACAGGCTCACTGTTCTAGAACGCTTAACAATTAATTAATACATTTATGCTGAGTGATTGCTTACGATTTACTGCTGATGAATTGTGACTTTACGGTGTTTATATTTTAATGTGTTGTAGCTGCTTTTTTAATTAGCAGCTGGAAGTAGTAAAGCATACACATTTCAAAATAAGAGTCTCATTGTATTTTGGACTTGTTTATTATTAAAAGTTGCATTCTGCATAAAAAAAATAAATAATTCGGGATAGCTGTGGTATTTAATATGGTATGATATTTAATTCAATGTAAACTCTTGTGGCTTCTCTTTGGGCCACCCTGAAGGTGTGCTCTCCATCTTGTTTAATTATTAAACGAATCTGAGATATATTATTTATTTAGCGATTATGTGGAATCTGCTCTGTATGGACTGTATTAAATTTTATTTGTGCATGTCTTAAAAGTCTTCCATTTGATTTTAAAAACTCTGCAAAAACCCTGTAAGATGACCAAGCACTTTCTGCATGGCCACTTATGTACAGTGCAGATGTACGGTGCACTAACCTTGTTACCCGATGCGTCTTTGCCTTTGCCCTCCTCGGCCACATGGAACCGCAGGTTCTCCAGCAGAATGACAGAACCTGCAGGTGGGTCTGCACAGGCTTTCTCCACATCTGGACCCACACAGTCCTTCAGGAACTGAACGTCTCTTCATAGGCAAATTAAACAGCAAGGTTGGTGGTGAAGCAATAAGCTGAATTATGTATGCATTGCTATTAAGATGTCAGCTTGAGAATGATTTTCTACCATACATTTCTTATGTTTATGCAGTAAAGCTATATAACATCACTGCTGTCAAACAGATGTAGCTTGAAGGTTTATATTATTTCTAACTGATGGTGTAGTATGTGTAGGTTAAAAGTCTATATTGAACTCTCTTACTTTCCCAGCAGGTTCTTGAGTTCTGCAACCACAGGCTCCAGAGAGTACTTGTCTGGCATGGGGACTCCATCTGGCCGGCCCAAGTGGCTCATCAGAACTACAGCTTTGGCCCCATTATCTAAACAATATTGAATTGATGGGACTGCAGCCTTGATTCTGATGAGAGTATATATATTATTAGTTACAAATTCTGTAGCACATGGCCAACATGTCTTTCAAAAGTGAGTCAGTTCTTTATACAAAAAATAAATAATAAAATACATTTTGTAATCACAAATTGGTATTTTTACCTCAAACAGTATTTCAAACCAAATACATTTTTAAATAGTACTGTTGACATTATATAAACTAATATTTATTAAGTTGTAAACACTGTTCATTTCTTTGTTGAAATCGTCATTACAAGTAAAGCTCAAATCATGTCTAGAACTTTATTAGTTCTTTATAATTTTGCAAGAATATATAGACATGAATGAATAAATGAATGAATGATAATATAGAACAATTTATAAACAAAACTGTGGGCCCATTTTAATGATAAAAACATTGCAATAGTTTGACAGGATGAGAAAGAACCATTATTGGCTAGATAAGAAAAAAAAAAAAGTAACAAAATGTTATATCAGCAATATCCATCTCACCTCTGGTTATTTGTTATCGTCTTGTCCTTCATAGGCACGTTGAAGTCAACCCTATTGGAGAGAGAGAAAAATAAATTGATCTACTATAGAATTAGCTATATAAAATGCCATGATTTATTGTAATGATTAGATTGCTCATTCATATTTGGAAAATAAAAAAAAGGTTTCAGAAACTTCATTTAAAGTAAGCTGACACATGAAAAATATCCTCAGCTCTATGCGAATTAAAAGTCATTTATTGCAATTCATTCTTGGTATCCAAAACCTTTAATAGCTATCTATCTCTTTAGCTTATATTATGAAAAAGACCACTAAATTGTTTAATAAAACTAAAACTTAATAAAAAACCTATATAGACATAATAAAAAAAATAATAATAAAATGACAACATTACTAAAACTGTAACTAAAACGGATAACTAATACAAATCAAACTACATTAGTTTATCAGTAATCCTAAAAAAATAACACTGAGCCAAACACACATGCTAAAATAACAACAACTTACTGACACATAGTAAGAAATGGTTATAAAAAAACTGAAACAGAAGTGAAACAAGTAGTAGGAAAGAGGAGAAATAAAAAGCGATACTTATTTATTGTTTAATAAAAATATACACATTAATATGCTATTTTAATAAATAAAAGGATTGTACAGTGACAATAATAACAACTAAATCTTTAAACTATCTGATCGGTATCACTGTGAGCACGTTCACGCGGTCTCCATGACTACAATGAATTACGTAATACTGTAAAGCACCCTGAAGCATTCAGATGTATTCAGGGAAGAGTCAATGCACAGGCTAATGTAATATTATTAATATAATATTAGACAATATTATTGCAGTTTGGAACCTGACGGTGGACGTTGTAAGAACACGGGTCATTGCAACTGTAGGAATATTTACTGACTCATCGTGAAACACTTAAAATGGCTACTAATTACTTGTTTGGATTTCTGGATTATTTGGATACACAATTTGGATATTTATATATGGGTGAAAATAGTGTGGGCGGGGCAGGTTTGTCGGCCAGTGTGGACTTTTTGCTGGCAGGCCTTTCGACTGTGTTCGGAATACCAAAGGTAAATTATGCTAAAAGCTGCTGAGAAGATGTGGGCGTCGTTTAGCGGAATATTTTATAAACAATCTTCATTTATGTGCATGAAAAAAAAAATAGCTTGCATGCGTGAGTGACACGAATAACATATAACAAGTACGAACACGCCACTAAATGAACGTGCATACTGGTATAAACCCGCCAGCACACGTACAAAAGACTTTATAAAACAGCATGTGATGTGAAAACGTACTGGTTGTTGGTATAATACAAAAATAAAGTGACCAGAGGCTCCCTGACCATTTGACATTTGTAGATGGGTGGTGTCATTTCACCAAGACATTTTCACAGCGTCTATGGGATCTAATTGTGTCAGAAGTTTAAAGATCTGCATTTATTTGAATACAACGGAGTCATGACAGATATTATTGGATCTGCACGTGCTTTTGGTGTATCTGCCATTCGGCACGTATCTGGAATCCATAAAACGTGACGCATGACAGATACACTTCCGGTTATCAATGATTGAACTTGCGCGGCGTTCTTTCGCATAACCTTGAGCGATGCCCAAAACAATTAAAGCTAAATTTGTATATGCCTACATTAAGCCATACAGCATATCCCATAAATGGAGAGCACGAGCATGCTGAAATATCTTTAGTAAGTAATAAAACGGAATGTGCCGGTGACAATTCATACTCGCCTCATGATCACGCGCTTCCCTTTCACATCCACCTTGTCCAAAGTGAGTTTGTTTGACAGAGACATTTTGGTTGTGGATTTGCAGCAAATCTCTCCTTTGCTGGTGCGGTGCAGTGCTGGGTAAGTTCCCGAATGAGAGTGACCTTAGCTTGATGCTGATGCACACAGTGTGGGCGGGTCTAATCGAGGTATGCGGTTCTAAATGTAGCGCTCATTGGACGTACTTGCTGTCAATCAAAATGCCTAACTGAGCGTAAAGGATGTTAGACAACGTTGAGAGAATGTGTTGCAATGTTACTGCCCCCTATCTAGAGACCCTACGCTCCTGAATTGAAATATATTAACTTATCTCGGTATTATTTTTGCACAGTTGGTTGTTTTAGTAATTTGGTGTTTGTATTTGGGATATGATGGGGGTCAAGGGCTGATGTTGGTGTTTGGTGAACGTGCATCCCATCACACAATGCTCTTATCGACATTTTAGTCCCACACTTTATATGAAAGGATCGTTATGCCCATGTCAGAATTAATGATTTTCATTTACTTATTCAGTTACATTTTTTAAATACCCAGTCATAAGTGATATAAAGAATACCAATTATTTCAGGCAAAATAACTTATTTAACTCTGTTAGTCATGTGTACATTATTCTTCTATTACTTCTTACATCTATTAAATCTTCTATTACATCTATATATTTTTGATGTTGTAAATAAAAAATTTTAAAAAGCCTTGAGAGCCCTTTAACATCACACTGTAATAATAAACAAATAAAATGTTCTGAATGTAGTTAAATATAACGAAATACGAAAGGGCATGAATAAATAAATGCACATGAATGTTACAAATATTAAAGTGAGGATGATTCTAGAGCAGGGGTGTCCAAACCTGTTCCTGGAGAGCCACTATCCAGCAGAGTTTATCCTTAATGAAACACGCCTGAACCAGCTAACCAAGGTCTTCAGACTCACTAGAAACCTCCAGGCAAGTGCGTTGGAGCTAAAATCTATAGTACTGTGGCCCTCCAGGGCCAGGATTGAACACCGTTTAGGCACCAGAACCGTTTTAAAAGTATCGATTTGGCACCGATATCGAAAAAACCCAAACGATACCCAACCCTAGGTATACTATGAGGAAACAGTATCTCGTCGAAAAACCTGATTCATGTAAAAATTACCCAAACCCCCTCCTTCACATGTCACAATAATTGTAGTTTATATTTTAATCTTTGCAGTTTAAATAAAAAAAATAAATAAATATTATTCCAATATACAAACACATTTCCCTTTGATTCCGCCATCCTCATTCGTTGCTTTGCAGCCTTCCCTCGCATCCTAAGAGGGATTTGGCACCGATATCGAAAAAACCCAAACGATACCCAACCCTAGGTATACTATGAGGAAACAGTATCTCGTCGAAAAACCTGATTCATGTAAAAATTACCCAAACCCCCTCCTTGACATGTCACAATAATTGTAGTTTATATTTTAATCTTTGCAGTTTAAATAAAAAAAATAAATCAATATTATTCCAATATACAAACACATTTCCCTTTGATTCCGCCATCCTCATTCGCTTGCTTTGCAGCCTTCCCTCGCATCCTAAGAGATGGAGCTAAGACACGAGGAAAGGAAACGAAGATGCACAAATTAAAAATTAGAAGCATCCAGAGAAAGTTGATGATCAGTGGAATGGTATGTGAAACCAATCCTGTGACCCAGAGTTTGTTCAGCTAGCTTCATGGTACAGCAATTGTAGTTGTGACATTCCATGGACAGCTTAGAGTTTTATCCTAAATACAAAACTGACCTTCAAAATTGACAATTATTTTGGTGGTAGAATACATCAAGCTGATGTAATATGTAAAATGTGCAACTGATGTAAGATCAAATCTGACCTAAACCCTAAAACACATTTAGCATGAAGTAAACCACATGACAAATCTTAAGATTTATATTTAATTTATTACATTTTTACAGACCTGCCAAGACAGCAAACAAGATTGGATAAGGTGAAAAGTCTCCATTTGCAAAATGGAAAAAAAATCAAAATGTCATTTAGAATCCGCTAGCATTCGGTCCACAATGGGGAAATGCATTCATTCATTCCTCCTGCCATGGCTTGGGCTGCACCTTGCCTACAGGTGACAGGTTCCATGCAATGCCTGTTGATGTGCTCACCTGCAAAGAGTATATAAAATCACATCACATACACAACATAGAAATTAGATAAATAATTACTAGAAGGTTAGTGTTTGCAGTCACTTACATATGCCCAAACAGCGGTGCAAAATGTGGCGCCAGCAATCAGCAGAGGAGGTCCATACTTAGCATGAAATTCAGGAGACAGATCAGACTTTTGTCGCAATGCCACCTGACGGGCACTTTGACCTATTGTTGAGAGAGAAAAAAATCAAGTTAACGTGCTTTAACACATCATTTGTTGCCTTAATGAAGAATTGCCAAAAACTTTGACTCACTGAATTTATGAAAGACATTTCTAATGCAACCATTGACCTTTTTGTCATATACATGAGTGCGAGTTTGCAGCTAATAGACAAACCATTCTGAGGACATGTTTTCAGTTTGATTTTATACTCATAAATGTTTCTATTGTATCTATCTATAAGACAAATTCGTGCAACCAGTGGGAGTAATATTTACATTTTAAGATAATCTATATGAGCCATATTTGATGTCAGACAGGTTTTAAACCCACATATTGTAAATAAATTAAAATACAAACATGTCTTTATAGAGGAAAGGTGACAATATATTCAATTATTTGCTAAAACGTACATACTAGCGAACTACAGATGTATTACATTAAAACTAACTTAGCATTAGCATACAGGAAAATAACAGCCTGTTTATTGGCGAGTATTGTAACAGATACGGTTCACTGAAACGTGAAATAAAACGGTCTGTCCTTGAATAAGATATTTAACTTACCGCTGAGGTTCAGGGCAGCCTTGGCGAAACGATACATGGTTATATCTCAGTACAACCAGCTGCTCGTGCTAATACCCTTGAACTGATGGCAGAAACAAAATGGCAGAGCGGAAATGAGCGAGCGAGGCCTGCACGCTAAGGGATCACTAAAGACGATCAACGGTTTCTTGCAATAAAAAAAAAAAAAAAACGACCAACGGTAGATTCAACATAACGTAAAATTGAAATGTTACACTAAAACAAACAATCTAAAACAAATAGTTTAAGGTTATGTGATTTATGGTTAGCCTATACGGGAGTATACTAATAAGTATACATGCGTTTAAATATTTACATTTTCTTCTGTATAAGGAACCGTCACTGCTGTTTTACCTGTTGGTTAGTTAAACAGTTCTCCGTTTGTTAGGTGTTAACTTTGCACTTATGTATTTATTATGTCTAGTTTGGATTGCGTAAATGAAAAGCGTATTGTAAATTTGAGTTTCTCGCAATAGCTTTTCAGAGATGTCAGGATGGCCGAGTGGTCTAAGGCGCCAGACTCAAGGGCTGTTCCCTTCCGACGAATCGGGTATTCTGGTCTCCGAATGGAGGCGTGGGTTCGAATCCCACTTCTGACACATACTTTTTTTTTCTTAAACTGGAAATAATCAAAATGTTATCAGATATCTTAAATGTAAGAAACAAACTTACATTTTTACATAGGCCTGTTCCCAAAATTAGAGGTGTATTTAAGTGACTTAATAATTACCCAGTGTTTGGGAGTAACTAGTTACATGTAACGGATTTACGTAATTTAATTACAAAATAAATGTAACAGTAATCTGAAAAAAAATTTATAATTAAATGACAGTTACTTATGAAAATGTTAACGATTACAAAGGGGGTTACATCTGAATATTTTCACACACACAAACATCTTTTTTGCTATCGTAGTTAAAATTAAATTTGTATCATCTTAATTCAACTTTTGAGGATTTTGAAAGTCTGACAGTAATCAGAGTTGAATATTACGGTAAGGTTAACCCTGCCTGGTTTAAATGTTTCAAAATGATTAACAGTTGAAAACATTCATTAGAAATGTAGAAAAGTAATCAAACGTAATCAGTTACATTACTTTAATAAAGTAATTGAAATAGTTACACTACTTATTACATTTTAAATGGGGTAACTTGAAATTTGTAACCTATTACATTTCCAAAGTAACCTTCTCAACACTAATTAAAACCTGACATATGAAAAAAAAAAGTCAGAAAAATCTTTAGTTTATTTACAGTATATAAAAGTAAATCTTTAAAAAAGTTTGCATATGTGCTGTATCATATTTGCTTCATCAGGCTTTTTTATAATGTTCTAGTAAGAATATGGAGCTCACACTCAAGTAGAAAATAAACGGCAATTTTATTCAGATGCTCAAACTGAGCAAAAATATGAAATTTGGTACAGATGTTATATCTGTGGCCAAAAAGGAAGATTACATTTGAAATATAAATTTGAATAGTTTGTAATGTATATCAAAGAGATTTGAACAATATAACAGATTGCTTACATAAAATGCATATATAAGTTCTTGTTTTCACTGTTTATCTTCCAATAATATATCTTGAGATGATATATAAATCCCCCTTTAAATTAAGGGATAGTTCACCCAAAAATGTAAAAATCACACTCAGGTTGTTCCAAACCTGCGTTTCTTTCTTCTGCCGAACACTAAAGAAATTTTTCAGAATAATGTTGGTAACCAAACAGTTGCTAGTTAGCCATTGACTTCCATAGTATAGAGGGAAAAACCTTGGAAGAACCTGTGTCTGAGTAAATGATGGCAGAATTGTCATTTTTGGGTGCACTATCTCTTTAATTAAATAATCGATGCAGTTTTAATTGTGGTGGGCAAAACATATAATGTAATGCAGTGCAATGTTGATTGATGCACACATACATTTCTCAGTAGCCTGTTGTATCATATTTGATATATTTTTTACATGAAAAAAAAGAAAGAAAAACTGTATGGACAATCAAGTCGCTTCAGTCCAGTAAATGTTAATCTTGAAGTATTAATAACAATATAGAAGTTATTCTTACATTTACTTTATAAAAAATATCATTAGATTTCACAGAAAAAACACGTATGTACCAAGACCTGAGGGTGGACGTTTCTAGAATTATACAAACAGGCCTTTTACTTGCTAAAAAAAAAAGTCTCAACAGATGACAGAAGGCATGTAGCAGATTATGTAAAACAGGTTTTT